AAGGAGAAGAAGAATTAAAAAGAACAGGAGCTCCTGGGTGGTTCAGTCAGTTAAGCAGCTGCCTTCAGCTCCGGTCATGACCCCAGGGTCCTGGGATCAAGCCCCACATCAGGCTCCCTGCTTAGCAAGGAGTCTGCTTCTCCCTCTCCCTCTGCTGCTCCCCTGCTTGTGCTCTCTCTTCTCTCTCTCTGTCAAATAAATAAATAAAATCTTTTTAAAAAATTATGTTTTTGAGGAAAAAATCTAAACTTGTTTTGGATGTGGGAAGGAAAGGGATTTTAAGGATGAGGTTTTAAGATTTCAAAAACAAAATTTTAAAATGTGCATGCATGCATTTGTATATGTGTATCTGTTCCTGCGTCTTGTCCATGGGATTGCCTCCCAATAACTTTGATGTATGCAAATTATATATAAACACTTTCTACCTCAAGTGGCCCCTGAGAAGTTGCTGTTGGAGATCATTGCCATATGGCTCAAAGTGCACTTGTCTGCCACTAGAAGCAAGTCTTTGTATGAAATTATAATTATAGTTCAGTGCTTTATTGGTGAGGAAAATGGGGAATAATGAGTGTTTGTGAAATATTGTTAACACTTCATTTTGGGACCATCTTTTTTTCTCATCTCTGGTTATTTTTTACTGAGTTATCCTAATGCACATTGCCTCCTTAGAAACTAAGAATTTGGAGGATGAAGAGAAAGACAGTCCTATGGAAGAATGGGATTCTGAAATGAGAGCTGCAGAGAAAGGTAACTGAAGGGGTGCCTAGGTGGCTTAGTTGTTTGAGCATCTGACTCTTGATTTTGGCTCAAGTCTTGATCTGTGTCGTAAGATCGAGCCCTGCATCAGGCTCTGCTCAGTGTGAAGTCTCCTTGTCCGTCTCCCTCTGCTCCTTCTCTCTCTGTCTCTCTTTCTCTCTCTCGCTCTCTCAAATAAATAAATAAACAAAATATTTTAAAAAGAAAAAAAAAGGTAACTGAATTAATTAAGGAGATAAATGGGGGAAAAATCTATTCTTTATTTAGGTGAGATTAAGTGATACAGAATTTTCAATAGAACAAATGATTTTTGTGGCAACATTTTAATGTGTCTGTTCTGATAAATTTGTTTTGTTTTTCTTTCCAAAGAACTGGAACAGCTGAAAACTGAAGAAGAAAAGCTCCAAAGGTCAGCCTTCATTTGGAGTGTTAGAAAATAGGCTAACTTTACAGGCCTAAATGACTTCCTACCTCCAAAAACTGAGGAGATTAGGCACATGAGTATTGACTTAAGACTGACTCAGGGCTTCTGCTCCACCTTGAACTTGACCCATCCTAGTTGACAACATTTTCTAAGCACTTACTGTTTACAGGGTGTTAATCCAAGGTAGTATTTCTCGAGCTTGAATAATATCAGTATCCTTTTGAAGAAAATAAACCTAGCATTAAGCTGTTTTTATATTGTACTTTCATATTATACTTAAGTAAGTATAAAATGAGGTATATTTTTCTTATTGTCATGGGTCTTATTTAACTATAAGACTAAAATGAATCAAATATAAATAATGACAAACCAATAAAATTCCAACTGACAACATTAATTTGACAGGTGATAATGTTTGGCTAAAATTAAATTGATGCTAGTAAAATGACTAACAAGGCATAAGTTCTATTTAGCTCTAATAAACTAAACAAAACCAAACGTAGGCATCAAAATTATGGCATGTCTCAGTTTTAGGGTGGGCATTCTTATGATCTACATTATGTTTATATTTTATCATCAAAACAAAAAATAAATTTTAATAATAATCTTAAAGAATATTCAAACCTTCAAGGATACCTTCATGGATCCTAATTTTGAGAACCATTTATTTAAGCCTTTCCTAATTAGACCCACATTTCTAGATTAATGCTTATTGAAAGGGAAGAAAGAAAGAAAGAAACCTAAAAAAACAAAAATGGATGCCATTCACTTCAGTGGGGAGCTATCTAGCATGTGACTTCTTGTCGTAAACCTTTATTTTAAGGGAGTCCAAATTCTCTGACAGCAGCCTTATCTTGCTATGAATACCTACTTTGATTTGCAGAAATCTTTTAGAACTGGAAGTACAGAAAGAACAGACCCTTGCTCAAATAGACTTCGTACAAAAACAAACAGATAAAACTGAAGAGCTACTGGATCAGTTGAGGTAAGGAAAAGTAGGTGTCATTAGTTTGTGTTTTACCCTGTGCCTTTGTGGTCGTCTAAACCTCTTACAGCAGTTGACATGTGTTTATGATGTGTATCGCTGTTTTAAGCTATAGTACAATACATTCTCAAAAAGAGTCAGTGTACCCAGCATCAAGCTGAAGGTATATGAGGTAGGAAAGCTATATGTTAAAATATTTAACACCTTATATTGCCTAAACTTGGCTTTCTCTGATACACAATTCAAAATTGAGTCAATTCTTTTTTTTTAAAGCATGTTTGTACATTCACAGTATTTGAATCAAAATATTGATTGTCCCCCAAACCGGTAGAAAAACTTCAGCAGCTGTTGCTGATACTGTTTGCATGGTATCAGAAGTTAACTCTCTTCTTTTACCTCAGAAAAAAAATTCTTTGTCTCTCTTTCATTCTCTCCAGCTTGTCTGAGTGGGAAGTCATAGAGTGGAGTGATGATCAAGCTGTGTTCACCTTTCTTTATGACACAATAGAACTTACCATCACCTTTGGAGAGACAGTAGGTGAGTAGCAAAAGTAAGATAATTCCTCTGCAGGAAAACGTATGGCTAAACTCACTAGAGTCCATTCTTTATTTTAATACAATAATAACTATTGACAGGGGAGCCTGGGTGGCTCAGTCGGTTAAGCGGCTGCCTTCGGCTCAGGTCATGATCTCAGGGTCCTGGGATCGAGCCCCGCATCGGGCTCCCTGCTCGGCGGGAAGCCTGCTTCTCCC